CCAATTTGAAGTCCGAGAATAAATTGTTTTTCTTTTGGGGTAAAATCTCTTATCCGCAAGGTCTTCTCCTTAAACTAATTTCTTTTTTTATTTTTGATTTCTACCTTTATGGTGCATTTCTATGTACGTATACATACTTAATACTTATGTCACATGTAAAATAGAGAAATCTAGAAAGTTAGGATATTATAATATATTAGTAAATTATGTTTTTGTAGTTAGGTTTTAGGATTTTTTTTCTTACACCTAAAGTTGTGTATATATATAAGACCAAACTATTCAATAATATGTCATATCATTTTATTCTCCCACAATATAAAATAATTACTTTATCTAAAATTATTTTTTCCTATGTTATTTATAGAATATAAATTTAAATAGATAATTGTTATGACAAATTATCAAATTAATTTTCGGAATTTAATATTTATTATAATTTAATTAATTATATATATTTTTTAAACTTAGTTATATATATTTGTATTTGTTTTAGACGCTAAATTTTCTTTTATTTTCTAATTAAAAAATTTAAATTGTTGCTTATATTTGGACGTTTAGAAAATAATTGAACAATGAATTTGATTAACTATTATTGACAACTTAATAAAAATATTAGATATATTTTTATTGTTATCGATTTATTAATTTAATTAACGAGTTAAAATTATTTTTTTAAATTGTCTTTTAAATATCCAAATATGAACTAAGTATTTTATTTTATTTTTTTAAATTGGATGTTTAAAATAAATGAAAAATATTATAACTAAATTATAAGGGAAAAACATTAAAAACTAAATTATAAGAAGTTTCAAATCTTAAAAATCAATTTGATAATTTTTCGTAACTATTATTAATATTTGTATTCAGCTAAAAATTAAATTTTATTTTATATTAATATTTTTATATTATTCTAACTAAACGTTTAAATTAGTGACTATTTATACATATTTGAAGTAAGTTAAAAATTAAGTTTCATTTTTATATCAAGTAGATTATAATTATTGTATATATTATCATTTTTAATTTTAGTTTATATTTAAAAATTCTAAATAAAAAATTGATAACTTAATTTTTATATATAATAAATGATATATTACAGAATGATAGTCTACAAAGAATTAGAAGAAAAAAAAAGTAGGATAGCAAATAGCTTAAAATAATAAAAGAGAGAAACAACACAAATATGGCAGTCTTACCATATGAAACTACGGCGGATTGCAAAATGTATGAGGGGATTCTTAGACTCGCTTTCGACCTTGAAAACCCGCACAATATTGGACTTCGACTGTAATCCGCTTTCATTTCCTTGTTATTCATATTCTTTCTTTTTTGTGGGTAGTTTGATCTTGTTTCCAATCGAATTGGAGAACTTTCCCCTGCAAATATCTCAGATCTGGGATCTCCACTTGCTTTTGGATCGCCCTTGATCGGTTCATCTCTCGTTTGATTCTTCTGGGTGTGACGCGATCCACTGGGAAAATGCCGGTGGCTGCTTCTGCTATCTACTTCTTGAATCTCCGTGGCGATGTTCTCATCAATCGTCTCTATCGTGATGATGTCGGGTACTCCACTCTCTCTCATATTTTAATACGGAAGGCTACTACATGTTTAATTTTGTCTAATCTATGGGGTTTCAAATGGGTTTGGTGACTGACTGAAAAAAATTCCGAGGATTATGACAGCTGTTTTTTGTGTGATTATAGCATGTCTTCAACTCAAAAAGAAATATCATTAAGAATGAATTTAGAACCATTGGTTCCCTTAATCTTGTTAGTGCACTTTAGGTCATAGTTTACGGGATTACGGGTTTTAGTCAGATCAAAAAATGAATTCTAAGCGACGGAGTTGTCTCCTATTTGTGCTCTGCCAGCTTTCTTCCTGTCCGTGACGCTGCTAGTTGAGTTCTTTGGTATGAAATGGTGATCCTGGGTTCTGTGGGATAGGTTTTGGCTTGGCAGGAGAGAAGCAGAAGGTCTACCTCATGGATCGTATGGAAGGAGAGGCACATATGGGCTTTTAACATGTTACATATGGTTTGATAAAGCTCTGAAATCCTTGGTTCCAAACCCTGGACATTTTATTCAGGGGCAGGCCTCTTGTTCTCTTACGAGAATTTAGGTTGCCTTACTGACATTTCAATCAACCTGTAAAGCTCTTCATTTAGGTCGACAGGCCACCCCCTTGGTGCATTGATATAATATTTGTCTTTTTATGAAATAAATTGAAATAGGAAGACACACATTTTTGGTGAAACCATCCTAGAAATTGCATTGTGCTTATTGGATTTATGTAGGGTGCAATGGAAAATTGCATTGTGCTTATTGGATTCTGATAGGTGACAACTAGGCGAATTGAGCTGAATAAATGGATACAACTATTTGAGTTTGGCTCTTTAGAATACTTGAGTGGACTTGATTTTGGGTTGGAACTCGACCCAAACAACTCTTGGTTACTGTTCACTTTATAATCCACTCAGATGTATGAAATTCTTGGTGCTCTTTTTCCTATGGATAAATTGAAACAATAATTAGGATAAATCCAAAAATAAAAGATTCTATAGAAATGGATACCCCTATATATCAAAAGTCATCGCCCATGGACAAAGAAAACTGTTTAAAAATCAAATATAGGAATTCCTTCATATATAGGGATAAGGAAAGTTTCTTTTTAGTGTACTTGTTTTGTTTTGGTTTACTTTTTGTGGAGTATGTCTTATTCTCCGCTCTTGTACCTTTTCTTGTTTCCTCTGTTCCTTAACAAAGCTTCTTTTTTAATAAAAAAATTATTAGAAAAAATTTATTTTTCTTAGACTTAATGCATATTATAACTCAAAATTAGTCTTGCCATCCAAATATGACACCTAATAACTAGCTAATCGAATTTCTAACAGGAATAGTGTACCAAGTAGCTAATTCCTTCAGCCTAAACTTAGCCTTTTCTATATTTTGTACCCATACTCCTCACGATCAGTACGTAGTCCTTTATTTACCAGTTTCTTTCCTTTTCTTTATTGATTTCTATTAAAACCAAAGTGCTTAGAGTTTGTAGCAAGAGATAAATTAATACTGCGTTTTTAGAGAACAAACTTGCAACATATTCACAGGTTCAAGTAAAAGGGAAAAAGAACAAAAACATTAGATTTTATGTGGTTTGGAGATGTGACATTCATGAAGCCATCTTTGATCTCATTAGAAAGAACTCAAAATAAACATAAGGTTTTTTTCCTTTTTACAGTGAACTAAGGATAAAAACCAAAATTACTAAAATACCCACTGAATAAAAATGTTCGAGGATAATTATATTTTTTACCATACGTTAGAACTTGTTGTGAACAGGATCCTTGCTGAGTAGGTGCCCCAAACTGAATGTGTTTTGTTTTTCATCTGGAATTGCTTTTCTAGAATTCATTAGGATTAATACAATTGATATAATGAACCATTTTGAAAAAATTAAAAAATAAAAGAGAAGGAAACGATATTTGGTTGCTGTTACAGTTGAGCTGGCTCTTCTTTAAGTGGTTGTTGCACAGTGTCAAATCCTGGCT